ACTTCCAAAACTATGTTGAATAGTAGTGGTGAGAGTGGGCACCCTTGTCTTGTTCCTGATTTCAGGGGAAATGCTTTCAATTTTTCACCATTGAGGGTGATGCTTGCTGTGGGTTTGTCATATATAGCTTTTATTATGTTGAGGTATGTTCCTTCTATTCCTGCTTTCTGGAGAGTTTTAATCATAAATGGATGTTGAATTTTGTCAAAGGCTTTTTCTGCATCTATTGAGATAATCATATGGTTTTTATCTTTCAATTTGTTAATGTGGTATATTACATTGATTGATTTGCGGATATTAAAGAATCCTTGCATTCCTGGGATAAAGCCCACTTGGTCATGGTGTATGATTTTTTTAACATGTTGTTGGATTCTGTTTGTTCTACCCATTATTAAAGGTAGAGTATTGAAGTCTCCCTTCCTTTCTGTCAGTTTGCTTCAAACAATTTGGGATTTTGCTGTTCGGTGTAAACTGTGTTTACAGTCATTATATCCGGTTTATGAATTTATCTTTTTAATCATTGTATGATCTTGGTCTTTTATGATAAATTTTGACTTAAAGTCTATTTTCATCTGATATTACTACAGCCATCCTAGATCTCTTTTGAGTGTTATTTGTACGGAAAGCTTGTTCAACTCTTAACTTTTAACCTACTTGGGCTTTTGGTTCTAAAGTGAGTTTCTTGTACATGGCATGTAGTTGGGTCATGTTTTTTAGATCCACTTTTTTGCATCTCTAATTTTATGTGGAGCAGATAATCCACTTACATTTAAACTAGTTATTGATAAGAGCTTCCTTTCACCAATTTTCTTTTTCCTTGGATATGTATTATATCTTTTATCTCTCAGTTCCTCCATTACTGACAAACATGGGTTAGATTGGTATTTTCTAGATACCTACCAGCTTGAGTCCCTTCTCATTTATTTCAGTGTATATGTTCTTAGTGGTTTCCCTGGAGAGTACAGTGAATATCTTTTATCAATATTTAGAACAATCTAGTTTGAACTAACTCAATTATTGAAGCAAAGTTGACATTAATTCAAACTCAGTTATTCTAAACCCCTTTATACTGTTATTGCCACAGTTACCATCTTTCTACACTGTGTGCCCATTGGCACTGTTTTATAATCATTGTTTTATGTTTTTGTATTTAATCATATATGAAAACAGAGAAGTTATAAACCAAAAATACTTTAATATTAACTTTTATGTTTACTTATGTATTTACTTTTGCTGATATGCTCTATTTCTCAGCACAACTTCAAGTTATTATTTAGTGTCCTTTCATCTCAGCCTGAAAAGCTCCCTCGAGCACTGCTTGTAGTTTTCATCTATTAGCAATGAATTATCTCAGATTGAATTTATCCTGGAATGTCTTAATTTGTTGTTGTATTTTGGAGGAAAGTTTTGCCAGGTGTGGAGTTCTCAGGTGATAGGTTTTTCTTTTCTTTCAGAACTTTAAATATGTCACCCCATTGCCTTCTAGACTTCATGGATTTTGATGAGAAACTGTCAGCCTTTTGAGGATCAATTTGTACAAAAAAGTTGCTCCTGCTTTGCTGTTTTCAAGATTCTCTCTTTGGCCTTTGATAGTTTGATCACAGTCTGTCTTGTTGGGGATCTTTTGTTTTTATCCTTTTTGAGATTCATTGAATTTTTTGATGGACAGCTTCATCATCTGCCTATTCTAGAGTCAACATTCTAAAATCAGGTTTTAATCAGTTTTGAAGTTCCTCTGGATTTTAGATTTGTAAGTGTACATCAGTATGCCTAGTGGAATCACACCCCATGAGCACTTATCCTTTGTGGATTCTGTGACATGGACTTGAGAAGGAGCGACAAAGACACAGGGACATAGCTTCTTAGACATGCCCTTAAGTATGACAAGGGTTCATGAGCCTTGAGGTCCTCACTGTGATTGTGCCTCCAACCTAGACCATCACACACACCTCCTGAAAGACTTCTTAACATGCAAGCAGTATAGTTTGGGAGATTTATACTTGTTTAGCATTGAAGGAAAGATACAAGTAAAGCTCCCATACCCCAGAGATAACCACTGTCGGTTAGCATTTTGGAGAGCATCGTTTTGCGAATCTTTCTGTGAATATAAACACATAACATATATGTCTATGTATCCATCTATGAAGGAGCTGTCTAAGGACACACACACACACACACACACACACACACGTGCACAGCACACACACAGAGAATTTTTCCTAGTGGTCCTCACCCAGACTCTTCCCTGACTAAAACAAAAAGGCCCTTAGGGATCCAACCAGTGCACTCCCAGTGACAACTCAACTGCCCTTGCTGTCTCCAGCCACTCTCCCCAAAGCCAGCCTTCCATTCATTGCTGTCTGGTTCTTCTTTCCTGCTGGGGAAGCAGGAGTGCCTGACTGAGGAGGTAAGTCACAAGGAGAGCCACAGCTCACCCCTTCTGCATTCTGTGGTGACCAGACAGCCCTGCAAATAAGTCATGTCCTTACTACCACAGGCTAGAGCTCCTTGGCCAAAGGTAACCAGTACGGTTTTAACCACCGAGGGAGGCTGCAGTGCGTGATTCCCCAGCTTGCCTCTGGTCTTGTAGACAGATGTATTTCCAATGCTATCTACAGAAACCAAAGCCATGGGGAGAGGCAACTGAACTGTCATCTCATAATTCCTCCTCCTGGGACTGTCAGAGGTGCCCAAACATCAGCCCCTCCTATTTTCTGTCTGTTCCTGTCCATGTACCTGATTGCTGTGGTGGTGAACATACTCATCATCGTGGCCATCAGCTCAACCACCAACCTCCACACCCCCATGTACTTCTTCATAGACACCCTGTCCAGCGTGGACATCTGCTTCACCTCCGTCACTGTACCGAAGATGCTGCTAAACATCCAAACCCAGAGCCAAGCCATCCCCTATGTGGCGTGCCTCACTCAGATGTATTTCCTAATTTTGTTTCTAGAGCTGGACAACGTCCTCTTGGCAGTGATGGCCTATGACAGATTTGTAGCCATATGTCACCCTCTCCACTATGCCAGAAACATGAGCCCCCAATTCTGTATCACATCGGTGCCTGTGGCCCTGGTAGTCACAAACATCTATCCCCTGATCCACACTGTCCTCATGAGCACACTGTCATTTTGCACAAGTGTCAGAATTCACCACATCTGCTGTGAACTCTATGCATTGCTAAAGCTCTCCTGCTCAGATATCTGCTTCAGTGAGTTGGTGGTTTATACCGTGGGGAGCTTTCTTTTTGTCACTCCCTTTGTCTTTATCTCTGCCTCCTGCATGCGCATTTTCTCAGTCATCCTGAGACTTCGGTCTTCCCAGGACAAGCTGAAAGCCTTTACCAATTGCAGTCCCCACCTTGCTGTGGTGTCATTGTTCTATGGGACCCTGTTTGGGGTGTACCTGCTCCCCTCTTCCTCCTACACAGCCAAGGACACAGTGGCCACGGTGTTGTATGCGGTGGTACCGCCCATATTCAACCCATTCATTTACATTTTGAGGAAGAAGGACATGAAGGGGGCCCTGAGGAGCCTCCTGGGCTGGAGAAGGCGCTTTTCTCAATAGCAGCAGATTCTGCCTGGTCACAAAAAGACAAAGCCACAAAAAGGTGGCTTGTCTTTTCTTTGCATTCAGGTGGGAAGGGGGTGTTATCAGATGCCCAGCTCGTCCCCAAATTTCTGCTGTCCTCACACCCATCTGCTCGTTCAGCCACTCCTCCCTGAGTGACTCTCGTGTGCCAGTCCACAGGGGGAAAGGTGGGAAAGCCTGTCTTCAGTTCAGTTCAGTCCCTCAGTCGTACCCGCATCTTTGCGACCCCATGAACCACAGCATGCCAGGCCTCCCTGTCTATCACCAGGTCCCGGAGTCCACTCAAACCCATGTCCATTGAGTCGGTGATGCATCCAACCATCTCATCCTCTGTTGTTTCCTTCTCCTCCTGCCCTCAATCTTTCCCAGCATCAGGGTCTTTTCAAATGAGTCAGCTCTTTGCATCAGGTGGCCAAAAAACTTTTTCACTCTCCTCTTTCACTTTCATCAAGAGGCTCTTTAGTTCTTCTTCACGTTCTGCCATAAGGGTGGTGAAATCTGCATATCTGAGGTTATTGGTATTTCTCCTGGCAATCTTGATTCCAGCCTGTGCTTCCTCCCGCCCAGTGTTTCTCGTGATGTACTCTGCATATAAGTTAAATAAGCACTGTGACAATATACATCCTTGATGTACTCCTTTTCCTATTTGGACCCAGTCTGTTGTTCCATGTCCAGTTCTAACTGTTGCTTCCTGACCTGCATACAGGTTTCTCATGAGGCAGGTCAGGTGGTCTGGTATCCCCATCTCTTTCAGAATTTTCCACAGTTCATTGTGATCCACACAGTCAAAGGCTTTGGCATAGTCAATAAAGCAGAAGTAGATGTTTTTCTGGGACTCCCTTGCTTTCTCGATGATCCAGCGGATGTTGGCAATTTGACCTCTGATTCCTCTTCCTTTGCTAAAAGCAGCTTGAACATCTGGAAGTTCATGGTTCACATATTGCTAAAGCCTGGATTGGAGAATTTTAACCATTGTCTGCATGAACACTTAATTTTCCATGCATTCTATATGTCTTTCTAGATCCATCTCAAACTCTTGAGTGCCCCGTGAATTTTTACCTCATCACGAGTAATGGAGTGTTTTGTTTTGTGCTGGGCAGGCACTGTTTTGAGTGAGTTTATGTAAGGATTCAATGTTCAGAATATCCTGTGATAGAGACGCCAGTATAGTCCCCGTTTTCTAGATGAGGAATGTCATGAAGCAAGAGACGAAGTTCCCACCCTCTGCTTCTGGGGAAGTGATGTTTTCGTCTCAAGACAGGAAAATCTGCCATGAGGTGCTCCTGTCACCAGGTGGCAGCAGATGCAAGGGTTGAGGAAGACAGGAGAAGGGGCAGCTGGGCAGGGAGAGGTGCCTCAAACTCCTGGGCTGATCAGGGCTAGTCAACACCTTTCTCAATCCACAGAGCTACCCGCTACATTCATAAAGGACATTCCCTGTGCAAGTGAAGAGAATGGATTCACCCCCCGTTTCTCCACACATAAACATGACAACAATCACAAGTGTGTAGCCGGGAGCCTTTCCCGCTGATGGACACGATGGCCTTCAGTTACAGGGGCTCTGCTGAGGTGGACTTTTCAACCTTCTCTACAGAGAGAGGTTGGGTCTGTGTCCCCGACACTTGAGTCTGAGCTGGATTGGGACTGCTTGCTCCAATGGAGTGTGGCAGAAAGTGATGCTGTGTGACGTCCAAGGCTGAGTGGCAGATGGCAGATGGCATCTGGACTGGTCCCAGGACTATGGGATCCCTGAGCTGCCTCTGGGAAGACAGTATCCCCTGAGGTCACCGCACTGGGAGGAAGCCAAGCTCCCATAAAGTGCTCTGGTCCTCAGAGCCCAGCCGTCCATGCATCCCAGATAGCAGACATGTGAGTGAGTGTTCCCTCAGGGGATTCCGTGACCACCTGCCTCAGCCTTCCCAGCCAAGGCCTCAGACATCACGGAGCAGAGGAAACAGTCCCCCGCTGTGGCCTGCCCTAATTCCCGACCCACAGGCTCTATGCACACAACTTGTGCAGGTTTTAAGCCACCACCTTTTCAGGGTAATTTCTTATGCAGCCACAGTAGCTGGAACACATAGCGATGACTACAACAGCGGCAGCACAGTATAGAATGGTGGCCAACTATTGAGGCTTTCAATGGCTAAGGCAAAGATCTCTCTTGGTAAATGTCACATTGCATTTGAAAACGTGCTGGTTGTTTTCAAATCTCTTTTGATATTGGTTTCTAACATAATTCCAGTGATGTTACAGCAGACTCTGTTTGAACTTTTGCACCTTGTTTCATGTTCCTATGGGCTTCCCTGCTGGTTGCCCTGGTGCCTCCCTGATGGTAAAGAATCTGCCTAAATTGCAGGAGACTCAGGTTTGATCCCTGGGTCAGGAAGATCCCCTGGAGAAGGAAATAGCAAACCACTCCAGTATTCTTGCCTGGAGAGTTTCATGGACAGAGGAGCCTGTTCGGCTATGGTCCATGCGGTCACAAAGAGTTGGACACAACTGAGCGACTAACGCTTTCACTTTCATGCTCTTATGTCCCTGTGTATGTTCCAGTGTCTCCTAGTTAATAGCCTGTGGGTACTTAAATAGAATGTGTATCCTACTGTTGTGTGAAAATTAAAGACATCTAAATTACGCTGAATTGGTTCATGGTGTGTTTCAGGTCTACTGTATTCTTCTACTTTACTGTATATTCATTCCATTAATTTTTGAGAGTTTAATATTGAAACTCCAACTAAAAATCCTTATTTCTCTATGGAAAATTAATTGCAATATATAGCAGAACTATGTGTACATTTGTTCTGTATTTTCCAAGTCTCCTATAAATATATTATAATGCTTTCATATTTTAAAAAATGAAAAAGAGACAAAAAAAGAATGGTGGCCAACCTTTACATGATACTGACTTTGTATGTATCCTAATTATACCCACTTTATTCACGCTCACTCCAATTTGTTCTCATGACAACCCTGCCAGGTAGGTACTCTTACTATCTCAAGTCCCCAGACCACAAAGCCGAGGTCCAGAGCTCATACATAGGGGAGTGCAAGTCAAAACCCCAATGTGATATCATCAAAAGACTTTCAGAGTGGCTGTTTCCAGGAGGACAACAAATAACAAGTGTTGGTGTAGGATGTGGAGAAAGGAAAGCCTTGTATGTTGCTGGTGGGAATGTAAAGTGATGCAATCACTATGGAAAACAGTATAGAGGTTTCTCAAAATGCTAAAAATTGAACAGCCATGTGATCCAGCAATCTCACATCTGAGTATTAATGCAAAGAAAACAAAAGCACTAATGTGAAAAGATGTATGAACTCCAATGTTCGTTGCAGTGCTACTTACAGTAGCCAAGAAGTGGAAGCAACAGAAGTATCCACTAACAGATGAACGAACAAACAAAATGTGGAATGCGTATCAGTTCAGTTTAGTTCACTCGCTCAGTCATGTCTGAATCTTTGTGACCCCATGGACTGCAGCACACCAGGCCTTCCTGTCCATCACCAACTCTTGGAGTTTACTCAAACTCGTGTCCATTGAGTCAGTGATGCCATCTAACCATCTCATCCTCGGTACATGTATATCTCAGCCATAAAGAAATGAAATCTTGCCATTTTGACAGCATGAATGAATCTAGAGAGTATGTTGCTGAGCAAAATAAGCCAGACAGAGAAAGACAAATACTTAATGATCTCTCTTATATGTGAAATCTAAAAACAAAACAAAACAAAGCATGAAAGCAGAATCATAGAGACAGAGAACAAATGAGTGACTCCCAGAAGGGTGTGGTGTGGGGGAAATAGGTGTAGGAGATGAAGAATTATAAAACCTCCAGTTATGTAAAAAAATAAGTCACAGGTATGTATACAGGTTAGCCCAGAAATTGTACCCAGCTGACTGTCTGGAGAGAGAGTTTAGTGGTGGAGCCCAATGGATACCTGGCATTTAGGAGATGGCACTGAAATTCGAAGGCCCTAGAATTGGTGGGCAGAAGATGGGAGAGAAGGGACAGGCAGTGGGATAGAAGCCTGCATATGGACAGAGGGTCCCCCTGGAGTCTGCCACAGACCACTGACCGCCACAGGACTGCAAGGAAAGTACTCAAGATCAAGGAAAGTGCCACTGGAGAGGATAAATGGTAACTCTGCCCAGCACCCAAGCTGACCAGGGACTGGTGGCTGTTCCCACTGGTCACAGTGACAAACCCCATAATTTCAGGAGGCCTGGGACAAAGAGCTCACAGCACTCTCGCCTGAGTAGTGTGGGAAAAATATGAATCCTGCACTGAAAGGACCGATGTGAGAGTTGGACTATAAAGAAAGCTGAGTGCCAAAGAATTGATGCTTTTGAACTGTGGTGTCAGAGAAGACTCTTGAGAGTCCCTTGGACTGCAAAGAGATCCAACCAGTCCATCCTAAAGGAAATGAGTCCTGAATATTCATTGGATGGACTGATGTTGAAGCTGAAACTCCAATACTTCGGCCACCTGATGCAAAGAACTGACTCAGTTGAAAAGACCTTGATGCTGGGAAAGATTGAAGGCAGGAGGAGAAGGGGACAACCGAGGACGAGATGGTTGGATGGCATCACCAATTCAATGGACATGAGTTTGAGTAAACTCTGGGAGGTGATGACGGACAGGGAGGCTTGGCGCGCTGTAGTCCATGGGGTCACAAAGAGTCAGACACGACTGAGCGACTGAAATGACACTTAAAGGTGCTCTGGTGCCACACAGCAAATCTTCAAAGCAAATATCAAAAGCTTCCAACTATTTCCAAGTCACTTCACAGCATCCCAGAACAAAGCTTATGCATATGATTCAGAATACAAAGAATACCCAGAACCCAGGGTGAAATCATAATGCCTGATAGCCAATCTAAATTAACCAGGCATGCAGAAAACTGGGAGAGTCCAACCCATAATGAGAGAAACAGAGCAATAAGATGCTTCCAGATTGGAGAGAAAGAAGAAAAACTGC